TTAGGGAGAACAGTTTCATGAAAATCATCCCTGTGTTTCTTGCCGTATCTATGCAGCCTATTAGAATGAGCACCATGAGGAGATCCAGAACTCCTGGGTTCTCTTCCCAACTTTAGCACATGCATCTCCTCTTTGGTTTGTCATGTCCTTGAGAACCAGGTTTTCAGGAAATCTCATGGCTTGGTTATCTTGAGCCCAGCACCCACAATATTCTTACCTTAATTTCTCTGGTGTAATCTTCCCATCCACTGGAGATAATAGTATCTACCTCTCAGGGATAATTGTGAATTTACTCCTATGTGTAAATGGTTGAGGTGATACAAATAACTAAGTACTGTTATTGCTAAGGGGTTTGCCTGCTCCACCTGTTTATTCTGCAGTTGAGAACGTTGTCTGAGAGGCAGAAAAGATTGTTTCCACAAAGGGCTGTGCCTATTAGTAGAGAATTCAAATCAGGAACAGGCAAACTTTTGAAAGAGGCACTTGAGTTTGAAGGCCTCAGAATCTGGCCCCTGCAGCTAACCAATGTGTTCTTTTGGGAAAATGATTTCTTGATAGTAAAACCGTCTCTCTTAACAGGGGCTGCAAACAAGCGTGAGCATCCTGGATGGGTGACTCCTATCTTCATGCCCCAGGAAGCTGGGTTTGTTGAGATTGCAGAGAAACGTGTGACTAGCAGGGTCCCTTTTGCTTACCTTGGCAGCTCCCTCCTGGAGCCGGGAGTTTGAAATTTGAGTTTCCTGATCCCAGGAGTCTTTCAATAAACAGGAACTTTGTCCATTTCAACCCAGTAGAGATCAGGGTGGAGACCAGTCAGTGTCAGGCATATATTTGCTAATCTTCTGGGCTTGGATGGGTATATTAGAGGAAGTTAATAGAGGCTGGGATGGCTCAGGAATTATAACTGGGGATGGCCTTTTTAACTCCTAGACTCTGAGTTTGTACCCCTCACTAAAACCGTGGTGTACAACCAGTTCTGAAGCAGTGACCACTGCTGTAGTGAACTAGCCACATTATTCTGAAAATGTAAATAATTTTGTGAGTTAGTTAGCCAAATTCAACTGGCCAAATAGCCACATGTGGCTAGCGTGTTGGCCACCCGGGCACCAAAAGGTGTTTCCATTGGCTGGCTCCTTTGTCTGTGACCTAGTGAGCTGGTGGGGTAAGTTTAGTTGCCAGGGACAATGAACTGGGGCAGGTGTTGTCCTTTGGCTGGCAGAGCTATTTATTACATTTTGTCCCTGCTGATGGGAAGTGCATGGCTCAGGTTGCTGGTTCTAGTTTATATGTCTCTGTGCCCACTGTTCAAATCTAGAATGAGCAGTAGTGGTCAAAAGTGAGGGGTGTGGCAGAGGGACGGGGGGGGGGGAGGAGGAGAAATAAACATTCTGATGGGTGACCTGTGTTGACTGAGTTCGGGTTGTGTGTTGTGCGGGGCAGGAGGATGTCTTAGGTCAGTTCTTAGAAGACAAAGGCCTAGCACTATTGCATTCACCTCACACAGGAGCATGCTCCCAAAATGGTTTAGATGGTGCACAGTGTATATGGGTTTTTTACATCACAGAAATCCAACCCCTTCGTTCCAGTTTCCTAACTTGTTCTGTCTCTTTCTTAACTTTGTTTAGGAAACTAGCGTTTCAGATATTGGTCAGTGAAAGTATTTCCCTAGCTTACCCTAAAAGACGGAACGCATATCTCGATTTTTGACATGTTTCCCATCTGCGTATGCCAAAGCTCACTTCAGCTCCTGCAAAAGTGTTGTGGGATACTCGGCGTAAGAGAACAGGACTATAATAAAGGTTTAGGCCCATTTAGGCTATGTAACTGCTATATTACTTCTGCTTAATGCATACTGCTGTATCTATTCGGGGGCAAATATACATCATACTAACAATAAGATGGTCAGCCTCATAAACACCATGGCTGGCACTAATTCGCCTTTTGCTGGCAATCTCAGAAGAGAAACCAAAGACTGTCAGAACAACAGAGGCTTAGCTCCGTCCTCATTCCCAGCATTGGTTGCTCTGGGTCCCATCCCTTTTCTGTGGGTAAAGGCAGGGCTGCGTTATCCAGGGCATTTTCCCCCAGCACTAAATTAACTTTAAGGAAACAAGGGACTATTTTATGACAGAGAAATATTGTCTTTGTGGGGACTTGGTCCATTAAGAAACAAAGCTCCTGGCCGGGTGTAAACGGCCCACCCAAGCAAAAGGGACACACGGTGCACCCAAGAATTACAGTAGACTTCCGATAATCCGGCACCTTTGGGGCCTAGGTGGTGCCGGATTATCAAATATGCCGGAGTATCTGGAGGTACTCCGGACCCAGGCTTCTTCTTTCCTATTCTTTTTGTTAAAGAATTGAGGCCCCTCCCTACCAACCACTGCTCAGACTGAAGGACAAAAGAGATACAGTAAACTTCCGATAATCCGGCACCTTTGGGACTGAGAGGGTGCCGGATTATCGGATATGCCAGAGTATCAGGAGGTACTCCGGAAGGTGGGCTGTGAGGGATCTGGGGGAAGGGTCAGCGGGGAATGGCGTGGTGTGGTGTGAACCCTCCGCCATTTTGCAGGGAGGCGGGGAAAGCCCCGCACAGTCGCCGGCGACAGGCCAGCTGGGGCTGCAAGTGGCAGCAGCGACTTGGGGAAGCGGTGGGGCAGAGCAGCTGGGGTGCTGCCAGGTTGGTTCCGCAGCACCGCCCCTCACCCCCCTGCTCGGCGATAACTACTGCAGTCTGTGGGGTGGGGAGCCCGCTCCCCTCCCAGAAACTCTCAGCGGTGGCGCAGGGCTGAGTGCAGCTGGAACAGGGCAAGTTTGGGGACTTAGCTCTCACGGCCGGACGCAGTGTAGGTCCCGGCAGACCCGTCACAGGGGTATAATCCCCTTCCCCTTTTCTCCCCTTCCCTTTCCCAGCCACGAGCTCCCATGGGGATCACAGCAGCTCCAATTGTCCGGCTGGCTGGAGCACTTCCGGGTTCCAGTTGGTGCTGGACTGTCGGGAGTGCCGGACCGCTGGCTGCCGGACAATTGGAGTTTTACTGTATTGTGATATAAAATATTTCTCTGAAAAAGCTTGGTGAGATGCCAGCTGGTGTCTTGGGTTCTTCTGAAAATCCCCCCCCCCTCCCAATCTCAGCCTCCCACCCACTCTGGGAGTGGCTGGCTAATGCTGAAATCAGGAAGGCTTCAGGGAAGGAGGTTAGGGAAAGCTGAGTCATTGCTGGGCATTTGGGATGTGCTGGTTACTAAAGCTGCCACTTTCTCATTTAGAAACTGAGAGCCCGGAGCCAAATTCACGAGGGGCATGGAGTGGCATTGTGCCGTGGGCTTCAGTGATGCTCTGCTGACTTTATGTCACCAGTAGCTTTGGCCCCTTGCCTCCAGGAAGAAGTGAAAGTTACTTTGTGATGGGGTTGCCAGAATGTCCACACTCTGGGCACTCAGCCAGGGCTTGGCAATTTCCTGTTTTAAGCTGAACCAGCACAGACACTCCCTGCTCCGCCACTCACTGCGCGGAATCATGAATGAAATGCTCGTTCCCGGCACTGGCATCAGGAACTGTTTGTGGCTGGGGGGGGGGATGGGCTTGTTTCACAGTGAGCCGGTGCCAGCTCCTCTGTTCCTGTCAGAGCACCAAGCCTTGAAAGCATGTTAGTTCCCACTGAGGGCAGCCGCCTGGGGTGAACCGGGACTGTCTGCAAAATTCCCATCTTGTCCCAGAGATGTAGGTTTGTGAGTAGCAGAGATATAGGCTGGGGGGAACTGGCCCGTTGCCACCAGCATGTCTGCGAGTTAATGAGCATTTTCAGCCTCTCTGCCACTAGCAGATGCTGGGTAGGGCTAGCTAGCGCACACGTGCCCTGATGTTCATTCCCCTGAGCATGGCAGAACTGGGGTACCATGGCTGTCATGCCACAGATGAGTAAGTCCTTGGTACATCAGTGCTTGGCGCTGGGAGTGTGATTCCCAGCCCAACGAGACACTGCAGCACCGGGACAGGCCTGCTGCCCCGAGTACACGCCTGGGGTCTCGGATGGGCGCCTGCTCGGGGACTTGCCTGTTCATGATGCCACGGCTGGGTTCTGATTTTAGCGCCCTCACAGGACTATGACTCCTTTAACTGGGAGTCAGACCCAGCTCTAAGTGTAGACACCTCCCTCCAGAAAGGGCCATTTTCCTATGGCCCCCAAAAGCAGCACTTGGTCTCCCATCCACATTCTGATGGCTTATCCCAATCACACAGAGCGTTCCCTGCTGCCCGCTCACTGTGGAATAAGGGATTCCCTGCCAGCAGGTTGGTAGTTAACCTTGGGATCCGCTAGGACCTGCTAGCGTGATTTAAAATGCTGCCTGTCCACACAAAGGAGAAATGGTGGCCAACATTGTCCATGGCTTCTAACATGGTAAAAAATGAGGCCTGAGTCCCCTTGGTCAAGTCCTTGCCCCCTCAGCCCTTGCTTCAGTTTTTCTATTTGCTGGTGTGCGTGGGTGCTTCTTGGGACAGTCTCTGGATTCTGTTTTATGCTGCCACCACATGCCTGCATCTCCCCTTCCCCACTGCAGCATGGCTGGGTGCGTGGCATGAAGGGGGATGGCTGCTGGGAGGAAGCAGGGTCAGTGTGCTGTCCTGGTGGAGCAGAGCCTCCAGTTGCAAGTAGGACCAGAAACCAGGTCATGTACCCATGCAAATGCTTCTTGGGACAGTCTCTGGATTCTGTTTTATGCTGCCACCACATGCCTGCATCTCCCCTTCCCCACTGCAGCATGGCTGGGTGCGTGGCATGAAGGGGGATGGCTGCTGGGAGGAAGCAGGGTCAGTGTGCTGTCCTGGTGGAGCAGAGCCTCCAGTTGCAAGTAGGACCAGAAACCAGGTCATGTACCCATGCAAAACGTGTCCAGTCTGCTGCGGCCCTGCCGTGGCTCGGGGCAGGCAGCTGGCATGCCTGGCCCTGAGTCTGATTCTGTCTACGTTACTCTTCTGAGAGGCCGCACGTGAGGCTGGATATATTCATCTCCTATGCTTTCCTCTGTTTCAGAACGTTTGCTGAGTGCTTGAGGAAGGACTCCCGGTCGTCTGTCAAAGCCAAGGTAACAGGCCAAGCGGTTGATGATTGCCTGTCTTGTTTCTGTCACGGTCTCTGCGCTGTTGCCTGGCTGCAGTTTTCATGCAAAGCAGGCACTTGGGTGGAGTCGAGGGACTCGGTGATCAGTCGGCCTCTGTGCTGCTCCCCCGTCATCAGACTGACGAGGAGAGAGGCTTCGTCTAGCATAGGAAACAAGCCTCGGAGCCTGCTAGCTGGGTTTGAAGTCCCTAGACACCCTAGGGAAACGTGCACAGAGGTCAGCACGCTGTGCTTAGCGCTGGGGGGCGGCTTTCTGCATTGAAGCAGGGTGGGGTTTATGGCCATGCAGCTGACTGTGGCAATTCACCAGAGGGAGAGGCACCCAGCGAGCCCTGCGTTGTGTTGGAGAGATGCGCCTGCAGCATGCGATCACGCCGCTGTGACTGCGCTGGTGTGGGTGCAAACAGTGGGGCCCAAGAAAGCAGCAGCAAATAAAGGACAGAAGTTAAATCATTCCCTGGGTAATGAAAACCCAGTTAGGTTATTCACTCTGTGACCTCCTGAGTACCCTCCAGTGAGGTTATTTATAACGTCGTCTCGTTGGACTCCACTCTACTGTCTCCAGTCTCTTCTGAGCCTGGTGGCTCTTTAAGTGACATGCGTGGGCCTCGCGGGGGTGAGAGCTGCTCAGAAACGTGTCTGGCTCACTTGCTGCTTTGTTTCCTGTGCATCTCCACTGCTGCCGAGTTTGGAACTCGCTCTCCAGTCACTTCAAGTCAATAAAACACGATCGCCGTAAACCAGCAAGCTCAGGCTGAAGGAGGCTCCAGTATTTAAACCATGTGCTCCCAAGTCCACAGCTACCAGGGACTTCCCAGGTGTTAATCTGCTGCCTGCCAGGGGTGTGTTCAGCTTTATAGCAATGACAGGGAAAGTCTCCACTTGATTTCCTGGAGAATCTCCACTAGCAGTATGGGGCCTATGACACAAGTGGACAGTTCTGATTTTATCTAGTGGGGGGGCAATGGTGCACATGCCAGATTCACTGCAGCACTTACCTTGCTCATAGGGTTCATGGGAAGGATGCCTGTATTAAAGAGCCCCCCTCCTACCAAGACCCCCTATTAACCTCTCCATAGCTCACAGAGACCTTGGCTCACTACACCCCACCAGTCTCTGCCACTTACTGAGTGTTTAAGGGGACTCTTTGCTCCTTGCTTTCCCCAGAGCTTCACTGAAGGACCCCGTCAACAGCTCCTTAAAAATCCAAGTACATTTCATCCCCTGGGTCCCTGGCCAGTTTCCCTTGCAGGCTCACACTGCATTGCTACCGGAGCAATAAACCAGGCTGCTGTGTGCGCCCCTGGCAGGGGGCTGCGGGGTTTCTGTCTGATTGATCCTGTTGTCTCCCTTGGGAATTGTGATGTTAACCCTGTGAGGTCACTTCTGGAGGGGAGCTTGTCTGCTGGGCTGAGGCCTTGTCCATGGCAGAGCGCCGATGAGCCCACATTGCGGTGCGGACGTGACTGGGTCTCCCTGCTTTCCCCAGACACGATGTCTCAGTCCAAGGGCACAGTGGTTCTTGCCTACAGCGGTGGCTTGGACACCTCCTGCATCCTGGTGTGGCTGAAGGAGCAAGGCTATGATGTCATCGCGTATCTGGTGAGGAGCTTTCTGCAGAGACGTGTTGGGCGCCTCTCGCCTCGTGCTTCCTCCCCCTCCTCCCCCTTTCCTTTCTCCTCCTCCCCCTTTCTTTTCATCACGATCTCCAGCCCGTCTCCTTCAGGGGGTGAAGCAGGTTCAGTGCGACCGACTCTGGAAAAGCAGCCACTGCGTCCCCCTGGGGGGTGGGCTTTTTTGAGTTCTGCTGAATAGCAGGAGCCAGGAGAGCCTGCAGACTCATCGGGACCCTGGCAAGAGGGAACCCCCTCCCCACACTGAGTTCCCAGAAGGGGCGGGGCCTCAGGCAGAAGGGGCGGGGCTGGGACTGCCCACCCTCGCACCATCCACAGCATGCCGCCCAGGGCTCTGCAGCACACTGTGCAGGGCTCTGGCAGCGATTTTTCAATGGCCTGAGGCTCCTGCTGCCATCTCTGCTGCAGTAGCGGCTTCTGCTGCCATCTCTGCTGCAGTAGCAGCTGCCCCTTTGTCCCCCGCCCCAGCAGCCAGCATGGTGGGGGCTGTCAGAAATCGGTCGTTTTCGAGGCGGCGCCCCGGCTGCTGTGAGCCTCTGCCCCCGTGGTGACAATCTAACCACCGTAGCAGGGAAATGACGCGCTCTCGGGCGCGACAGAATTGTGATGTGATTTAACACCCCCCCTCCCCGCTTTCTCTGTCCAAAGTGTCCTGGGGGGGGGGGTGAG